TTCAGTGCTGTTGTTGCACTGTATTTGCAATGCTGATGAAACTGGTAAGTTGGAGTATCTTAACTGGTCTATAGTTTTTTGAATTTTTTTTTACAGTAAAAGTTAAAATTTCGTACTCAGTTCTTTTTTTTAAGGATCTATATGTAAGTTATTATTGAAAATGAATTATGCTTAGCGTTACACTTACGCTTGAAACTATTTTAGGAAACTGCAGTCAGGCTGTTTGTAATTATCGAGGAGTTTGTATGAAATCTCCAGCTGATAATTCTACTCGTTGTATGTAAGCATTTTTTTTTTTGTTTTCTGAAATTCTTCACATTTTTTTTGGGTTTAGTTGCTGTTTTTTTTGTTACACATTTTTGAATGACTATCTCTAAACTTTTATTGTTTTCTGTATTTCTAGAGCGCTAGCGCTTTACATTGAAAGCTAAAGTAACTTTAGAGGGTTATGTTAGGGTGTATGCCGCAATAACTCCCCAATGGGAAGGTAGTTGGGGGAAGGTGGTTTTATCCAGCTAACATATTTTAGGGATTATGAGGATGAATTAGTTTGATAATACTGATAAGCTAGATGTTTTGTTTGTCTAGCAGTGGAAAAGGTCGTATGACCCGGCCTTTCCCATGCATTATCTTGACGCCGTTTTGCATCTTAAATTGTTGTGCTCTGTTGACGTACGTATTGGTGAACAAATATATATTATAATATGTGTATATATATTTATACGTATGCCATAAGTACGATTCTTTTGACCTCTTTCAAGTTCTTATCATAAAACATTAATTTTTTTTTTTTCAATTTGTGTTTTCTTTTTCTAATTTTTTCTTTACATTGAAACTGTCGGTAGAATTATCAGTTGGTGTAACTGAAGTTTGAAAAGAAATTTTTTCTTTTCGAATAGTTTTTCTGTTTCCTTCTTTTTTTTTCCTTTTTATCAGAAGTTTATTGGTTGCTATCACTACAAATGTTGTGTGGCACAAAAATGCTTTCAAGCCAAGCAAATTTTTTTTATCTTGTCATGAACAGCAGATGAGAAAATCAGCAGTGTTGTATAAATTGTATGACCGTAGAAGATTGCTATTCTTTATTTCTGGCTAAAAATGAGCAATCTGTGACAACTTTTTTTTTTTTTTTTT